GAAGCCTGAAATCAGCAGTTCTGGAGTGGGCAAGCACTTCTCATCTTCCACAGTGAAGACAGAGGCAAAAAATGCATTTAGCTTCTCAGCCATTTCCCTATCATCCTTCAGTACTCCTTTTACCCCTTGGTCATCCAAGGGCCCCGTTGCCTCTGGCTGGTTTCCTGCTTCTAATGTATTTGAAGAAAGTTTTATTGTTGGTTTTTACATTTTTTGCTGTATGCTCCTCATACTCCCTTTTTGCCCGCCTGACCACAGACTTGCATTTTATTTGCCATAGCCTGTGTTCTGTTTTATTAGCCTCACTGTGACTAGCTTTCCACTGCTTAAAGGAATCCTTTTTGCCTTTTACAGCTTCCATTACTTTGTTTGTATTTTTCCTATACCTGTTTGCCTTTCCTAACCTGCAGAATATATATATATATATTGAGCTTCTAGGATTGTAGTTTTAAATAGTTTCCAAGCTTCCCCAATAGTTTTGACCCTTTCTACTTTTCCTTTCAGTTTCCTCCCCACATGTCCCCTCATATCAGAGAAGTTACCCCTTTTAAAGTTAAAAGTGGTTGTGTGAGTCTTTTTGGCCAATTCCCTATTTGTACAAATGTTGAACTCAACAACATTATGATCACTGTTCCCAAGCGGTGCAATCACTTTTACATCTCTCACCAGGTCTTGAGTGTTACTTAGGACCAAATCAAGGATCGCCTCTCCCCTGGTAGGTTCCGTGACCATCTACTCCATAGCACAGTCATTTAGATTGTCTCGAAACTCAATGTCTTTTTCTTGACTAGAACACATACTGACCCAATCAATGTGTGGGTCGTTAAAATCACCTATGACGACACAGTTTTTTTTCTAGCTATCATCTTTAATTCATTCATCATTTTATAATCCTCCTCTATCTTTTGATCTGGTGGGTGATAACAAACTTCCAGTGTTAAGTTTCCTTTTTGGCCCCCCTATTTCAACCCATAGAACTTCCAGAAGCGAATCCAATTCTCTTAGCCTCTCAATCTTTCTGGACTTTATACCCTCTCTGACATACAGAGCCACCCCACCCCCAACCCTTCCCCCCCCACCTCCAACCCTTCCCCCCCATCCTTCCGATATAATTTATAAACGGAAATCACCGTATCCCGCTGATTTTCCTCATCCCACCAAGTTTCTGAAATACCCACAATGTCTGTTTTTCCCTCCAACACCAAGAACTCCAACTCCCCGATTCTACCTCGGACACGTCTAGCATTTGTATAGAAACAGCTGTAATTTCCCATACAAGTTAAGCCTGCAACCTTCGTCTTGCTATCTCGAGACCTTGTCAGGAAGTCCATGTCACTAGCCATGGTCTCAGTGGACAATTTCAATCCACCTCCCTGTAGAAAAGCAACAGGTACCACCTCATCTCTCTGAGATAAGCCAACCAGAACCAGAGACTTTTCATCTCCTGTTGGCTTGAAGAGAGTCTCTGCAACTGAATCTCTTCCCACACTCTGAGCATTCAAAAGTCTTCTCACCGGCATAGGTTCTTAGATGAGTTTGAAGAGTGCTACTGTCCCTGAATCTCTTCCCACACACTGAGCAATTCAAATGGCTTCTCCCCTGTGTGGTTTCTTAGATGGGCTTGAAGAGAGTCTCTGCGACTGAATCTCTTCCAACATTCTGAGCATTCAAAAGGCTTCTCCCCTGTGTGGGTTCTGAGATGAGTTTGAAGAGTGCTACTGCGACTGAATCTCTTCCCACACTCTGAGCATTCAAAAGGCTTCTCCCCTGTGTGGGTTCTTCGATGGGTTTGAAGGTTACCACGCTGACTGAATCTCTTCCCACATTCTGAGCATTCAAAAGGCTTCTCCCCTGTGTGGGTTCTTAGATGAGTTTGAAGAGCGCTACTGTCACTGAATCTCTTCCCACACTCTGAACATTTGAAAGGCTTCTCCCCTGTGTGGGTTCTTAGATGAGTTTGAAAAGACCTACTCTCACTGAATGTCTTCCCACACACTGAGCATTCAAACGGCTTCTCCACTGTGTGGGTTCTTAGATGTCTTTGAAGAGAGATACTGGCACAGAATCTCTTCCCACACTCTGAACATTCAAAAGGCTTCTCCCCTGTGTGGGTTCTTAGATGGGTTTGAAGGTGGCCACTGCGATTGAATCTCTTCCCACACTCTGAGCATTCAAAAGGCTTCTCCCCTGTGTGGGTTCTTAGATGAATTTGAAGGTGGCAACTGTAACTAAATCTCTTCCCACACTCTGAGCATTCAAAAGGCTTCTCCCCTGTGTGCGTTCTTAGATGGGTTTGAAGACGGCCACTGCAACTGAATCTCTTCCCACACTCTGAGCATTCAAAAGGCTTCTCCCCTGTGTGGGTTCTTAGATGTTCTTGAAGAGTGCCACCGCGACTTAATCTCTTCCCACACTCTGAGCATTCAAAAGGCTTCTCCCCTGTGTGGGTTCTTAGATGGGTTTTAAGGTGGCCACTGCGACTGAATCTCTTCCCACACTCTGAGCATTCAAAAGGCTTCTCCCCTGTGTGGGTTCTTTGATGTTCTTGAAGACTGCCTCTACGACTGAATCTCTTCCCACACTCTGAGCATTCAAATGGCTTCTCCCCTGTGTGGGTTCTTTGATGTTCTTGAAGACTGCCTCTACGACTGAATCTCTTCCCACACTCTGAGCATTCAAATGGCTTCTCCCCTGTGTGGGTTCTTTGATGTTCTTGAAGACTGCCACTACGACTGAATCTCTTCCCACACTCTGAGCATTCAAAAGGCTTCTCTCCTCTGTGGATTCTTTGGTGTACAAGGAGCTTCGATCTGTATTTGAAGTACTTTCCACACCAAAAGCATTTAAATGCATTCATTATATTGTCCTTTGGAAAACATATATTACCTTTTCCTCCCACAGAGAACTTCATTCCACTCCCTGAGCAAATAAATAGCTTCCCTCCTGTATGAATCATTTGGTGTTGAACAAAGTCTGATTTCTTTGAGAATCTCTTGCCACAGTCTAAGCAGCTATAAGGTTCCTCTCCTAAATGTGTTCTTTGAAGTCTAAGGAGCTCTGCTCTGCGAATCATGGTCTTTCCACACTCCAGCCATCGATGGGTCTTTTTTCCACTGTGCATTTGTAAATGGACATTATACTGGGGTTGATCTGAGAAGTTCATTCCACACACCAAGCACTTGTATGTTTCCTTCACTGTGTGCATTACTTCTTGGAAATCCCCCCCTTGGCAAGGAATAGGTTTACCCCTCTTCTGGATGATGTGGCTTCTTTCCTGCCTCTTAGGTCCAGCTTGGTTTCTGAAGTTTCCGCTCAAGCCTTCATTTTTGACTTCATCTGGTGATACAAGATGCAGTTTGTCATCCTTCTCATTCCTCTGATCATCCCCTGCTGGAATAAAGAAAGAGATCCTGTTAGAACCCATGCAAAGAGGTATGATCTGGACCTGAATTTCCATTCTCAATCCAAATATTATAGTGGATTCTTCCTGCTGTATACTGAAGTCTACAATGACATGCACTTTAAAAGTTCATTAAGCCTCCTGCACAAGAGATGCTTGGTTCAGACTCTCACCGTTTATATGGCTTCCCAACTGTGTGACTTTTTTAAAGTGAAGTAAGGGCTCTTTTTTGACTGAAGCTCTTTCCGCACTGCAAGCAATTACATGGTTTCTCTCCTAAGGGAACTTGTGTCTGCAAAATGATGTTCATTCTCTGAGTGAAGGTCTTTGCCAAGGCCACACTCTCAGTTTCCCTGGAGTGGATTCTCTGGTTAGGATGGGGGCCTTTGTGCCTTCTCTTTTTGACTGACTCTTCTTCTTGGACTGGGATTTCATGGAAGCCCCCTCCTCAGTAAGGAATGGGTTTATCCCTCCTCTTACCTGCTTGGCTTCCCTCCAGCCTCTGGGGTCCATCTCCATCTCTGAAGTGTCCGTCGGCATCTTCATTCTTGACTTTTTCCAAAGAGAACCCCTGGAATTCCCCAGCTGTCTCCTCGACATCTGCTCCTGGAAGAAAGAAAAAGTTTCAATCATCACCCAGGCAAGAAGCCAAGGCACCAGCCAGGCACTGCCCTGGAATGGGTGGGCATTTCAGAATCTTCCCTCCCAAACTGAGATGCTGGTCACACCTTATCCCTGCCAGGCCCTCCCATAGAGCTGTTTTTATAGTCTGTCTATCTCTCCCCTCCCCAAATTCCCTATATGTATTTTAAGGAGCAAAGTGGCAAAATACTGTTCCCTCCACATTCCCATTTGACTTACTGTGCTTTTTGACTTTTGATTCTTTGCACTTGACAATTAAATACAAGAGGTTATCAAGATATCCAGTCCTGCAACTGCACTGAGAGTTTCCTTCCAGTTGTTAACAGAGCCACGAGGAGCTGGTTTTCAACCTCCCCAAAATACATGTTTTCCGGGGTGAGGAAAGAAGCCAGGAGATTACCAAGTGAACCCCACAGTTCAAAGGGGGCCCCCACGGTTTTTGGGAAAGGTGCTGTTTGTTGGGAGGGGGGCAGGCAATGACAGATGAGAAAACCAGCCTTGCAGTGTAGGGGCATCTTTCTCAAAGTCATATTTTTTGTTATTTCTGAGTTGTTCTCTGCACCTTAGCTGGGCCTCTCTATTACCTAAAGCACAGCCACGTCTGAATCATCCAGGCAGTTCTGCCTTTCCTAGAAGCACAGAGTCAGCCAGTCTCTCCGGAAAGAAGTATATCTTTATTGTCAGCAGGAGAGAGCCAGAAGACTGATTATCAGGCCTCCAGGTCATTAACTTGTTACAGTAGAGTAAGGCCCTCGGGAAGACCGTCCCAGAGGAACACGCAGTGTCAAAAAGTCCAGATAAGACCCCAGAAGAGTCTGTCCTGTTCCATCCTCCCCAAACACCTGAAAGACGCAGTGACCACACAGCAAGCATGCAGTTATCCAGGTGTTCAGCACGACCAGGGTGATGGAATCTAAACAAGTTAGTCTGGCAGACCCTTAAGAGCAGCAGAAGGTTCTCACTGTTGTCAGGCCTCTTCCCTGGGGACAGGGGGAGATGGTGCTGGCCGGCCTTGGAGAAACTCGGGCATCGGGGCACGCTGAGTGGACAGGTATTCCTGGCTTTTCTATGTGTTTGTGCTTCTCTTTGGCAGATGGTTTCCTGCCTCAAGGGGCTGGAAGGGACTTAGCCTTTGGGAAGGAGTTGGTCGCTTGCCTCTTGGGGAGACGGAGGGTGGCTACAGTGCCTTCTCTCTCCTCTTGTGGTTCAAACAAACCGTGCTTCAACTGAGAACCTGACCATGTGTTACCTGGGCTGATAGTTTCAGTGGGAATCTCTTCAGTAACATACAATCCCACTCTCTTGGGGTGAGGACTGACTCCCGTCACCACAGCAGAGGGTGCTGTGTGATTTGGCGGGAGAGAGAGGGGGGGGGAGGATGAGAGAGGATTCCTATGTGGGGAAGGAAAGAAATCCAAGGAAGAGGAAGAATTCTTCTGGAAGGACGGAAACATGGTCAAGATCAAAGACCAGACCCCTAACCAGTATAAGGGGGATGGATCCTTTACAGATCACAGTCAGAGCGGATGGCCGTAGTCCCATCGAGGGGAAGGGTGTGTTGTAAAGGCTGGCAACTGAGAAATTGGGACCGGGTCCCTTCCAGAGTCTTTCTGAGGCCCTCTCAGCCCCGCCTCAGTGAGGCCTCCAGCGGGGGGGAGGGGGGGTAAGTTTTTACAACCACATGTTGATGTTTAATATTTTGACTCATGCATCGAACCAATGGCAGCAATTCGCTCCTTGGGCCCCTACGAAAGGTCCTTACCCAGAGAGGCCACGCTCCCGTAGTTCTCCAGCATGACGTCCCTGTAGAGAGCTCTTTGGCCAGGAGCCAGCAAGGCCCACTCGGCCTCGGTGAAACACACGGCCACCTCCTCAAAGGAAAAGGGAGGCTGAAAGGAGAAGCAGATTCCCTTGTCAGAGATCAGTCCAGGCAAAGACTATACTCTCCACGGGGGCATTCTGGGAGGGTGCAGGATGCAGAGTTGGGCATGCGTCAAGAGGGTGGGGTTCAGAGCTTGTCTCTCCTCATTCACCAGGATCAAAAGCCTCATGGCAAAGGAGGGGGGATCTGACTATCCCCCAATCTCCCCCCCCACCTGGACCAGATTTGGAGCAGACGGTTTCACTCCTCTGAAAAGACGACAACAGCTTGACAACATCTCTTCACTGCCTGCAAGGGAGACAAAATTGGAAGGATGAATGTTAACCTCAAGTTCCTATTTTGTTTGCTTCTTTGAATTCTACTTCAGGATTGTGACACCTTCTCTTCTTCACACTCAAGAAGATTTGTAATGACTTTTAGAAAGGTGTCAAAGAGGTGGAAGAGAACCATCAGGTACCCATGAGCCTCGCGGTTTTATATCTGCTGCCAACATTTCTGTGAGACTGGAAATGTGCCCTGTGAACCCTGAAACTCCAAAAGTTGAAGCATCCCTGATGGATCCGACCAAAAAAACAGGCACCCCGTTCTCCCACCTGCTGGGCCCCCCACACCCATCCTGGAGTATGGATTGGCAGGAGAAAAAGAGGGGACCAGAAATCATATTGCACAACACGTCGGCATCACATCCCCCCCCCAAACCCAAACACAATGTTAGTGCATCAGCCAAGGCTCTGGAAACTACAGGGTACAACCAGTGAGTTTCCAGGGCGTCTGTTGATGCTCTGACTTCAGATCCAGACATTAGGCCAGTTGAGACATCGACATGACATCACGCCCACCCCATGCTCTACCCCCTCAGACCCCTAGCAATGGGGTTTCAGCGGTATGATGCCTCCGAACGTGGGGGGGGGGATGTTTCTTAAGTGCTGTGAAGTCACAGCTGACTAATGGTGAACCCACAAGTTATTCAAGGCGAGAGACCTTCAGAGTTGGTCTGCACTGCCTGCCTCTGCACAGCAACCCCTGGACTTGTTTTGTGGTCTCTCATGTGGGTGCTACAAGCATGGACGGCTTCAAAAGGGAATTAGATAAGCATATGGAGCAGAGGTCCATCAGAGGCTATTAGCCACAAGGTATAGCTAGGGGCTCTGGGGCAAGTGATGCTCTGTCTTCTTGGTGCTTCTTGGTGCTTGGGGGGGGGGGTCAACAGTGGGAGGGCTTCTAATGTCCTGGCCCCACTGCTGGACCTCCTGATGGCACTGGTATTTCTGGCCACTGTGTGACACAGAGTGTTGGACTGGATGGGCCTTTGGCCTGATCCAACATTGGCGTCTCTTATGTTCTTATGTTCATGCAAGACCCAAACCAGGGCTGACCCTGCTAAGCTTCTGAGATCCGAGGAGCCTGGGTGACCCTCGGCCATCCACATCTGGAGAATGTGGACGTTCCATTTATTTACCTTGGCTAATAGCTGCGCCCAGATTCCTCTTCCTTTCCTTTCCTGAGCCACCCTGAGACCCTCTAATGGAATTGCCCTCCATGAATCGGTCTACTCCCCTTTCAAGTGGAGAGGCCATCACGACTTCCTATGGCACTCTGCGTCCCAGAATTGCATTCTATGTAGTCTGCAAAAGTATTCCCCTTGTCTCGCCTCCTGAAACTTCTGCCCAACAACTTGACTAGGTCCCCTGATCCCATCTAGGCAAGAGGCTCCCTTACCACTTGACAGGGCATCTCGGGCAACCTCCTGGGCCTGCGTCCTCTGACTTTCCTCTGACGGAGCTCCTTCTGCCTCAGAGATCTTCCATTCCATCTTCACGGATCGTCCCCACATCTGAAACAAGAGGAAGGGGGACAGGTAAGAGAAGGAATGGAAATATCTAGAGGTAGAAATATCTAAGAAAAGATGGGAACAATACACTGAGGAATTATACAAACTTGGAAGAGATTTTATGACTGGTATAATATAAGCGTAATGATTTGATGGAAATTTGAGAACACAGAAAAGAGAAACCTAGTAAAAGAGACAATGAGCTTAGAAATGGAACAAATAGATAATTGAAGAATAGAATATGGAATATAAGCCTCCTGAGATATGTTTTATGTTTGTTAGTGTTATGCGTTGTTTGTTTTTCACGTATGTTTGTAGTGTACAATGGAAAAAAAATAATAAAAGTGTACCTTCGGGTATTTAAAAAAAAGGAATTATACAAAGGAAATGAAAGGATGACAGATTCCTTTCCAGAAGAATCTTTCGAAGAAAAGGCAACGGTTTTAGAAAGTAAAGGGAAAACTCCACTGAGAGCAGTGGGGAGAAACAGACCATCAGGGGTAGATGGGATATCAATAGAACTATTCCAAGGCACAGAAAAGGAGTCCCTCAAAATCTTAACAAGAATATGCTAACAGAGAAGAAAACAATGGCCCACAGTCTGGAAACACTCACTTTACATTCCGATTCTGACAAAAGTAGACATCGTTTTGGAGCATATGAGATAATTCTGAAAGAAAATCAGTATGTTTCATAGATTACAGCAAACGTTTCGACGGTGTAGATCATGAAAAGCTATGGCTGGTTTAAAAAGAAACGAGTCTGCTGTTTGCATTGATACGCAAACTGTACTCTAAACTCCGAAAAAAATTGCAAATATGAACCAGAATATGTCAAACAAATGCTGGAAATGTAAGACTCATGAGGGCTCATTTTACCATATGTGGTGGACTTGCGAGAAAGCTGTAGACTTTTGGACAAAAGTCCACAAAGAAATGCAAAAAATATTGAAATGCTCTTTCAAAAAGGCACCAGAAATTCTGCTTTTGGGACTGAAAATGGAAGAAGTCAACACGACTAAAAAGTCTTTACTCGGGTACTTAATAACAACAGCGAGAATGATTTATGCACAATTTTGGAAAACAGAGAAAGTGCCAGAAATCGAAGACTGGATACAAAAAGTTCTGTTCATGGCTGAAATGGACAAAATTACGAAAAAGTTGAATAACAAAGAAGATGATGTGTTTTTCCAAGAATGGAGTGACTTTAAAATATATTTGGAAAAGAACTGGGATGTGAAACAAAATTTAATATGTTTAGAGCAATACTAAGTTAAATGATGTTATCTTGAGATTGTAATTATAAGAAAATGATATAATTGATGATGTAATGGAATGTGGAGCGGGGGGGAAGCATTGCGGGAAGCCACAGGAGGGAGGGGAGGAAATGGGAATGGGGTAAACAATGGAAAAGATGAAATTGTTAAACTTTAAATGTTGAATTCCTATGAAAATAAAATTTGTTTACCAAAAAAAAAGAGGCCACTGTTAGGACAGAAGATGGAGAAACAGAATGGTTTCCAAACTGGAAAAAGTGTCAGACCACGATGTATTTTATCTCCCTTTCTCTTCAATTTATATGCAGAACATACCATAAGGAATGGTGGATTCGATTTAGATGAAGGAGGAGTGAAAACTCGTGAAACGAACAATTTGAGATACGCAGTTGTCACCGTACTATTGTAAGAAAACAGTGAAGCCTTGAAACAACTACCAATGTAGGTTAAAGCAGGAAGTGCCAAAGCGGGATTACAGCTGAACATCAAGAAGACAAAAGAGATGACTAGTGTGGAATTTCAGAAAAGTAGGGTTAATGATGAAGAACTTGAAATTGCTCGAGATTGTCTGTTCCTTGGCTCCATCATCAATCAAATGGGAGACGGCAAGCAAGAACTCAGGAGACTGAGGCTGGGAAGGGCAGCCAAGAAGGAGCTAGAAAAGATTCTCCCGTTTAAGGATGTGTCTCTGGTGATCAAGACAGAGTTAATTCCTGCCACAGGAGTT